CAAACAACTGATAATAACTATATGTATACTATATACACGAGCATATATATGCAAGTTAGAGTCTTCACCGCTTTGGTTTTCTCTGCCTCATAGTGTTATATTATATCTAATCACATCCTTCATAGTCTTTATATATGTTCATGTATATAGTTATTATCAGTTGTTTGAAGATTTTAACTCTTCCTTATCTTATATGTTACTTCTTTTTTCTTTCTACCTTGTTTTCTGAATCTGTTCCATGGTTTGTTTTCCTATAAACGTATATCTGTATGTACATCTCTAAAAATTACTCAAACATTCACATAAAATAAAAAGAAAATTTTGGACTGCAATAAAATTAAAGTAAAAAAAAGGTGAGACTGTGCCCAGAAACATATTACAGATCATAAACTTGAATGGAGATGGAAGAAAGCAATCATCCCCCACAAGCTCCATCAACCAAGGTCATGCTTTCTCCCATACCAAACGAAGGTGAGAGTCACAATATTCTACTGATTTTTTATTCATTAATATCTCCATGGCAGATTCCATTATACTTTTCTCTAGCAACAATGAAATTAGATTTCTGATTTCACTCATTTCCAGTTCCTGATCTCAACTTCCAACTTGTTTGCAGATTCTGATTACACCATATTTCTTAAACTGCTCTAGATTCCCCGCGATCTCCATTTCCATCCTTGTGAATATCATTTTGATCTATGCTTTCATCAAGGTTGATGCAGTTATACCATCTTGCACAAAACACGTAAATCACAAAATCAAACCCGGTAAGCACTGCTATAAGGAAGTAGAATCTGTCCATATGGCCTCTATTAAGATTTTCAGGGATCCAACCATCCTTGTTACCTCTTGCTGTGATCCCCATTACCATGTTAACCAACAAGCTGCTAACGTAATTCCCTAGCGAAATCGAAGCCATACAGAGAGAACTACCGAAGCTTTTGATCCCGTCCGGTGCTTGTCCGTTGAAGAATTCCAACTGACCAACGTACATGAAAACTTCGGAAGAACCAACAAGAACGTATTGTGGGACTTGCCAGAATATGCTTAAAGAGCTTGATTTTTCATTTGGAGTAACATGTTTAAGCCTTTCGAGTTCTGTTATACCGGCTGCAATCATTGCTAACATGCCTATGATTAGTCCAATTCCCATTCTTTGAAGTTCGGTTAGGCCTTTGGGATTTCCACTTAGTTTTCCGGCTACTGGCACGAGAATCCGCCGATAAATCCCGGTGCTGATAAGTACACTGCAGATGTCAAATGCAGACATGCTTGCAGCTGGGAGGTGGAAGTTTCCAACTCGGGAATTCATTACATCGCCTTGCTCGACAAAAAGAGACGCCATCTGGGTGAAGACAACAGAATAGATTATGGTGCAGAGCCATATGGGAATCATTTTCATTACGCATTTTGCTTCTTCTACTTGTGTCACGGTGCAAAGCCTCCATGGATTTTCCGCTTCATTCATGTCGGATTCTGTTATCGTTGCTGCCTTGTCCAGAAATC